GGTCATTGAACGGTTGTCCAAATTAATTGAATCCTGTCAGAAACAGTCTCAGATTTATATTAAGCATTTTCCAATGATGTCGGTCAGACAATTACTCAACTGATATATTTCCAAAATTTTTGTTGTCCATCAACGTGTCTACCGCTAGTGGACGCCTTCCATGCAAGAAAACTTGAAACTATCGTATTCTGGGACCATTTAACCACAAAGCTATGTGTATATGCCCGAGTTCTTGACATCACAAACCTAATCATTTGTCTCCTTGTAGTTCAATTGTAGGCACAGGAAAAAAAGACGCACGTGGTTATCGTATGCCCACATCCCTGCTAATCCGTAATTATCTATAAGCAAATGATTTTGCTGTATGCTGCTGAACACACTGTCAAGCCGTTTAAACCAATGACTGACAATATGAATAATGAAAAGAAAGCAACATTACTCCCTGTATTAACTTTTTGGTCAAAACCAGTTCATCATTTTGATACTGCCATCATCAGCAAAATGCTTTACTTCTGCGACGTTTCAATAGTGCTCTAATGAGAGCCGATGTCCTGTTGACAAATATTTGGTGCAGTGACCACTGCATTTCATGAATCTTGCTACAAAGCAGAGAATCAAATATACTAACAACATTCTACCATTCCCAACACGGAGGACTTTTAGACACTGCAAACTAATGAATTTTCTAACTTTGAAGGAGGATTCTGCTTGAAAGGCAACCTCTTCGAAAGATTCAATTCAAATTTCGAATGTTAATAACGAATAATCGAGTGAGAGCTAGAGGTGTTAGCGACAATGACCAGAAGGTCAGCACGCAACGTGCAGGAATATGACACGGCAGATCTGCCTTTGGAGGAACATTTCTCTCTACACTACAGTAATCAGTGCCCTATAGCAACAAGTTGTAAAGCTGCGAATAGAGCAGATATCACAGAGGCTTTGTGCCTATGCAAATGGCTCAAGATTCAACATGACAACAAATCGCAAAAACGAACAGAACACGGAAACGAAAGCTTACTGTCACGAAACGACATGACTGACGCTGCTGCTGTCTGGCAGATCTGCGATGCTGAAACACGTGTTCGTGAATGGAAACTTTTCCCACAACGTTGGAGCAGCGGCCACTTTTACTAAAACAAACAAACTACGAACATGGGCAATTAGTCAAAAACGATTTACAGAAATAATAGTGAATTTGTCAGCAATCCAATAAGTACCTTAGACATACAACACTGAACTTGAGTGAAACATTTGCGAACTAGATTTAGCAGTATGCTCAGAAGGACTTTTAACGGCCCATTCATTCGCCAGTAGAAAAAAATCGACATACTAGATTACAAGGGAGAGACCGCTAAAGTAACCCAGATCATCTCTCGCTAGATCTTTTCCCTGACGGCTTACTAAGTGACTTTTTATTGATTTCACGTTAAATCACCAGCGGCCCACTCTAGACCTTTAATTTACTCAATCAGCTGTCCTAAACAGACAGCAAGTCCAGTGTTGTGGTTACGTGACAACTTCATTAGTTGCAACGTACAAACAGTAGATCATAGGAACTTTTCGAATGCACCCCTCAGTTTAAAGTTTGTACGCATCAGTTTTCAAGTCGCGCGAAGAATGACGCGATCCCAGACCATGTTACAGTCAGAGATGAAATGTTCTCTGACAATTCTTCACCTTTCAGTCATTCTTGCAATCACACTATCAACAAGGTTCAAAAAATTTCTTCCGAATCTTACCCATGTCTTTACGCTGAAAAAGAATTTGAGACAACGTCAAAAACGTCTGATCATCCAACTGTTCAAACTGTTTGCGTTGTGCATAAATAAACCGTGTTTCATGCCACTTAGCGTATGACCACCAACGAACGAACAAAATACTCCATGTTGCTGTGTAAGAGAAGATAAACATATCATGCGGGCTAGTGAACGCAGCAGCTCTGTAGTGGTTTAAACTCGTTCAGAGCCATAGATTATGTCGGCCGCAATGAGATGAGAAGTTCAACCCAGTTTAGATCGTAGGTTTTAGATAATACATCACGTCCCTTTCACAGTTAGCTGGCAGCTTGTCAGCCACCAGCGACCACAACCAAAGACATGCAACACGGAGACCAGACAGTATATTGTTGTTTCTGTACTCAAATACAAGATCCAACCACAGAAAGTGAGGGCGCATTAATCACAATACTGGCCGTTTAAGAGGGTGTCTCGTGATTCCTCGGAGACAGAAACGACAATCTTTCGAGCTGGTGACTCACCATGTTATTCGGGGTCACTTATCGAGACTTTGAGAATCAAGACCCTGGAGAAAGTAAAATGAACTTAACCGAATTCATGAAAGAAAAGTGCTAAAGGAAATCGCTGTAAAACGAATCAGCGTCCAAACGGGTAAGAAATTTCGTTTTTCCGTCTTTCTTCTGGCAGTGCGAATTGTCATCGTCCCTTTATTTTACAATACCTTCATCCTACAGACAGGCTAGCGAGAGCTATACAGAGGCCACATCGCTCACCTTCAAGGCAGTTCGAACGATATTTATGATGTCCACGTTCGTTGCTAAATATCTAGAAGCAAAAAGACGATGTTAAAAGGCCAATTATTATCGGATTTATTCATGTTAAGCTTATTAACATATTCTCAGCCGAAGTGCTTATCTGATGAAGGAATTTATATCAAGTTCTTTGTTATAACCAGCAGAGAAATGCGGAAAGCATGTCGCCAGCAAACGTTTTCAAACGCCATGGCGTACCCAACTGCCTAGGAAATGCCGTTTCAAGCCTATTGGTCGATTAGCTGCAAGAATCTTGATAAAATCTATCTGAAGTATAAAAATTATACGGCTTACATTGTGCTGATTCTTAATCAGCTATCAGTGAATCAAGATGATCTGCAGTCGTAAGGCGCATTACAATCAGACAACATGACCGTAATTCTCGCACGCTTTAGCATATCTACACCATGCATTACTGTCAACAGGTGAAGAATTTGCTACACGCTTCACTGCTAGATGCAGCGAGGCAGGCACATCGAGGTAAGTTCTTAGCTCAAAACTTTGACCGTGCTAAGACTCGAACCCAGCACTTATAAAGTGTAAAATCGAACTGCAGTTCAATGAGACACTGCTTCCTTTACGAAACTTGTTTTGTGATTACCATCTGTAATCACTTTGCAAAACAGCAAGCAACTTAAGATCGTGATTCCTATCATCTCCAATTTCACATTTTGGCATTAAAAATTGTTCACTGCGTCCCCAACGACATAATATCAAATCCACCATCTAGACATTTAAAAGAGTCGAAAAATTGCTTGAAAAAAACGAAAGTTAATTCACCGACATGAATATGCTCTTTCACAGTTATACGTTCAAAATCTGTATGAATCAAGATCGTACTGTGCCTCCGCATCTTTCTGTGGTTTACAACCGGGACAAGGAAATGCTTCAAGCAGAGAGCACCCTTCCCGAATAATCTAACTTCTTGCTTCCAGGATCCCACACAAGAAGAATAACCATACAGGTAACCAAAATTTGCAGTGGTCAAATACCTCATTTTAAAACTAACCGGTTATACCGCGGGAAATTGCACGTGATCTCTGCTTCCAGTATCCTGGGAAGAAACACGAAACAGGCGATAAAGTAAAACTTTAAGAATTAGACCACGCTTCAAGAATACGCATGTCAATGGTCGCCAGAGGGTAATAAAATACAAGCAGTCCAAACAATAACAGGTTCATATACTGCAAAAAACTCGGCCAATTTTTTCCTGGGGCCATAAATAACGGATCAAACCCAATGTTCTAATTCTCATTCATTGGCTTAACTAGAAATTCATGTTGATTTCGAAAGGAGAAACAGATGATACACTATTCTGATAAAACGCATATTGAAACGA